GTTCAGTTAATGCTATATGTAACAATTTTGCTGGCGGATACAACTGTGTATGTAAAAGTGGCTATCAAACAAATAATGGTGGAGTAGAATCACTCACTAATCAATGTCAAGGTAAATAATGTTATCACATCTTTCTTTTATTAAAGTTATGTTTTCTATTGTTTTTTGTTTTTGTTTTTTTATACTTGAAAAACTTAAAAAAATGGTTTTACAAAATTTTGTTTTTAATTAACAAAAGGTTTTTAACTTTTAGTGATATTGACTTTTTTGCTTTTAAAATATTCAAACTTTATTTAAAACTTAAAAATCAAAAAGTTATATTTTTCTGTCATGTGAGCGTTTTCAGAATATTAAACAAATTTTCAGAATATTAACAAATTAGCTGTATATGCTTTAGTTTTATTAATTCATAGTCTTTAGTAGAATTTGGTAGGATTTCTGCAATTGTAATGTTCTGATTAGTAGAATTTCTGCAATTTTAATGTTCTAATTGATAAGATTTCTCCAATTGTTCTGATCACAAGTAACAAAATAAAATATTCAAATACATCATTTTGGGAATTGATTATTTATATTTTATTTTTTACAGGTTTTATTATAGAAAAGCATATTTCATTATTATATATTGATTTATCAACATTAAAAACAGTTTTATCTCCCTATAAATGATTTTTATAAAATTATTTTTGACATTTTAAACTCTAAAACGAATTTTTTTTAATATATTTTCTTAAATCATTTTTTTATTTTCATTCTGTTAACCTATTTATTTACTTTTTCTTTTTGCTGTATATTATTTTATAATATTAAATTTTTCATAGATATTGATGAATGTGCTTTATCAACTACAAATATCTGTTCAATTAATGCTATATGTAACAATTTTGCTGGTGGATATAACTGTGTATGTAAAAGTGGCTATAAAACAATTGATGGTGGAGTAGAATCACTCATTAATGAATGTCAAGGTAAATAATGTTATTTAATGTTCTTTTTTATCAAAGTTATTTTTTTCATTAGTTTATCTCAAATATAACTTTTTTTTTTTTTCATCTTTATTTTTTATAAACATAAATTCTTTTTTTTTAGGTAGAAGTTTAAAAGTAAAAATCACATTTATTGTCTATATTCCATAAATTATAATAACACTTGTCTATATTCCACAAAATATTGTGACACTTTGCTAATATGATTTAAAAAATAATAGTTCAAAGTTTAATTTAGAAATTTTCTTTCAGATATAAAAAAACAGCGAAAATGAATATCTATTTGCCTCGATAATTTCTTGTTTAGTTTTAAATTTGACATTCAGTATGCAATAGCAATCTTTTTAAATATTTTTATAACTAAATTATAATTTATGTCTGTATATATGTTCAATAAAATTGTATTAAAAGGTATTTAAACAATTAAACAACCTTTATAACCTGCATAGAATAGATCTGGAATAGTGTATGATAGGATTTTTAAATTTTGAGTTAATATACCATACTTTTTTTTTCTTTTTATTAATAGAAACTTAATTGTAAATTTATTAATTCTTATTCATAATGTTACTTATTGCAACTATTTTACACATTTTATAAATTTTTAGTAGGGTGATTTTAATTTAAACAGGTGGTTAAACTTTACCTATATTTAATTGCACACTTTGAAAAAGTGCAAAATAAAACTATTTTCATATTAATGGGAAAAAAGTTAATAATGCTTTAGATATAATTTTTGCAACAGACATAAAAATTAAACTTGTAATTATGTAAGTTAGTTATATAAATTCAACAACATTTAGTTGTTTTAGTAGTATTTTTGCAGTTATATGCCATGTATGGAAATAACAAAAACAAATAAAATATTTAAATATATCTTTTAGGAGTTTAGTTTTAAAATTGAAATTGTTAATTCGTTGTTTTTACAAGTTTAACTGTTGAATAGCAGATTTCATTTATTGATTTATTAACAAGTTTAAGCCTCTTCTATAATAAATTCTGTGTTTATTTTATAAATCCATTGTTGTTTTACAAAATAGAACATATGAAAGGTGTAAACATTTTGCACCAACTTTGTCAGCTCTAAAATTTTATAGATATTAATGAATGTGCTTTATCAACTACGAACGCCTGTTCAATTAATGCTATATGTAACAATTTTGCTGGTGGATACAACTGTGTATGTAAAATTGGCTATAAAACAAGTGATGGTGGAGTAGAATCGCTCACTAATCAATGTCAAGGTACATGTTGTTGAGTATTTTTTCTATTAGTTTCTTTTAAATAGCCATAATTTTCTATTAGTTTATCTTTCAACATGATTTACTTGCTTAATAAATAATACTATTCCTTTAACAAATAATTTTTTTTGGGCATTATTAGTGACATTTTCTAGATAATGATAATGTTGTAACACAACTAACTTCATTTAGGTATGATATCTGAACAAAGGAATTTATTTGAGCGTGCAATAAAGTTTGCAGTGCTAAACGTAAAAGTTAGATAATACAAAGTAAAATAAAAATAGATAAACAAATATAAATAGATAATTTAATAAAGAGATTCTTTTTAGTCTTATTAGAACTGCATATATATATATATATATATATATATATATATATATATATATATATATATATATATATATATATATATATATATATATATATATATATATATATATATATATATATATTGTAATAACTGATTCAAAACATTATCTAAAAATAACATTAAAACATTATCTAAAAATATTCATAGAATTCATAATCATAAAAGTTATAATCATAGAAGTAATAAGAAACATCATTTTTGGCACCAAATGTTTTCCCATGTCAAATTATGGTAGAAAATATATTATTTTCTGGTGACAAACAGATAGCACACATCAGTCATTTAACATCTGACTGCAACAGACGAATTGCTAACACTTGGTAAGTGATACATATATTAACATAGACCAAAAGGCCATCACATGTGAACTAATCATATGTGTTACAGAGGACTACTATTGGACGTGGTTCTAAGTTAAATGTTGAAGAAGTTATGATCAAGGCATTTAAGGCTTTCAATGTATCAATGTCTGAAATATATTTGAAAACAAAACTCAACCAAAATGCTTTGAAATTAACCCCAATCTTTGCTTGAAATGCTCATTTCCTCCATGCCTAAGAATTACATTCAGGATATTATGAAGTAAGGTAAGAAGTTTGATTACTAGGTATGTTTCTAAGTCTTTGTAATCTCTAAAACCTGCTGAAACAGCGTGTGTGCTATTGGTTTGGCACATTATGTATTTTATATTTTATTCACTTTTTGTACAAAATTTTTTTACAAAAAGTTTTAAACAAAAACAAAGACTTATTTTATTATATTCTATTTCTTCTATTAAGTTGTGCTTGATATGTATGAATTATTGTGTTAAATTTAATATGTTCAAACTCCAAATTTTTTACTAAATTATTGAATGAGCTATTTGTTTGAAATGCGAACTGCATATATGTACATATCTAAAGTTCAAGTACGGTTTGGTTCAGTCTAAAGCACAGTTCGCTTTGGTAACAACTAAAGTTCAAGTTTGGTTTGTTTTGATATCAACACAATTGTTTTTTTTTATTAGTTTTATTAGTTATATTCACATTAATTAAACACAAATTAGAGTAATATTAAGTAGTTAAGGAATTGCAAATTATTTGAAAAAATTTGCAATTTTTTAACAACTGCAACTTAAAAAGAGCAAAAAACAAAACATTGCAGTTAAAATACGCAAAACATAGAAGCAGTAACTCTCTGAACACAAATGATGGTAGCTTAAGTAGCCTGCTGAAAGTCAAGTAATCAGTGCTGCATGTTATATTTGAGAAATATAAGCATTTCTAATGTTTCTGGGTTTAGGTGAACCCTGCAATCACTCATCGTCACCTCAGACTCTGAAAAGACTCTTTCACTGTTAGTACTTGTAGCAGGAATAGCCAACAAAATTCTAACAATCAATACCATTGTTGGAAGCTTATGTTCACAGCCATTATCTTTCCAGCAATGCATCACATGCTGTCACAGGCAGTGCAAAATATTTGTCAAATTCATGTCTCGTGTCATTACTGCCAGTTTTACACAATGGAGTGGCGGCTGTTTTAAAGTTTAGGAACAAATCATACAATTCAGGCTCAGCTACACTCTTTTTTAAAGGACGCAGTTAATCTGAATGACTGCATTTACTAATGCTGTCTATATCTGTACTGCCTAACAAAATTACTTTTATCAAATTTGTTAAAAATTGTTGGATGGCTAAATTTCTAGTTGTGTAGCCCTTGAACATGTTATGTAGCCCTTACACATGTTGTTTAGCCCTTTACACCTTGATTGTTTGAAATTTCTCTTTTTATGTTATATAAATTTGAAGCTTTTGATAGTTCTTTGCTATTTACTTTTTTACATCAAAGGAAGCATAGATTTGATTTTTTTATAGATTTGGCATTTTCTTGTAAATTCTAGGCATTTTTGTTGTATTTAATATAATTTTATGAACTTAAATATCATAAAAAAATATAACTGAGAAAATAAAATTAAAACATTACATCAAAATAAATTGAATAAGTATAACAATTTGCATCAAATATAATTAATTAAGATAAGGTGAAGCAAATATTTCACATTTCACATTTAAATTTAAAAAAATTTATTTCTGATGTTTTTTTAAATTTGAACAGTGTCCAAAGTAACCCCAAATTCAAACAGTGTCCAAAGTAACCCTAAAGTTAAACAGTGTCCAAAGTAACCCCAAAGTAACCCCTAAAGTCACTATATAGTTTAAAGTACCTTAAAAAAATTTTTTGAATTATTTAACTGTCCAAAAATTACTTGAAGTCAAGCCTTGAAATGTTTAACTAAATATTATTATCTTTAAAAAAATGTAAATATATTAGATTTTATCCAAGTTTTTAATTTTCTATTAGAATGGTTCACTGCTCAGAATGCAGTATATTTTATCTGATATTCTGTTAAGTAAAAATT